TTAATTGTTGGAAATTGTTGTATAAAGTTTAATCCGTTATATATAATTACATCATTAGGGCAGATAGAATAGATAAAATTAAAATCGTAAGAAATTATAGCTTACTTTAGACATGGGTTTATTAGAGTTCCTTTCTAATTCAGTGAATAATTGAATATCTAAGTAATTCCAACATTATTAATAGTATATAACAACTGTCTAAAAGGATCATTAACAATGTTTATTATTTTATAATATTTTAAATTTTAGCTTTAAATTACTTTAGATTATTAAACATCAATAATTAAAATTGAATATTGATTGTATTAATTAGTAGCAACTATGCAAATCATTGGCTATTCTAATTCACAATAATCATTAGTATTATATCTTTCTTCATATTCAAAAGGAATATTCCACCAAGAATTTTAAAAATCTTTAAATTATTTTTTTAACAGCTTAAAACTAAACAAAATTTATTAATAATTTAATAGAGCAACTTATGTATGCTACTGCAAAATATAATTGTAAATTTATATTTTACTGGAAGATGGAAGTAAAATAAAATCATTACAAATTAGAGACAATGAAATATCTCCTTATTAGAAATTAGTAAAGTATCTTTCTCCTGGTTCATCAGTTTAAAAATCAATTTAGCTAAGTAAATAATTTTGTTCATAAAGCAAAAATATTTAATTCCTTTTATTATCATAAAAGTAGTTATCAGGAACATTCATTAGTGATATTTTTAATTTTCTAATCAATTTTTAATTTTCTAAGTCAAAATATATTACATTAATATTTTTTTATTAAATGTAAATAAATTAACTTTATTTTACCAAAATAGGCTAAGTAAAATAAGGATAAATATTTTGATTTGGTGGATCTAATAACAAAGTATCTATTAATTATGAGTCTTTATAAATATTTAAAGAGTAATTTAAAATGCTAGAATAAACATAATATTCAGGACTAAGAAAAACATATTATACGTTTTGGTACTAAAGTAAATTCATTTCTGTTGCATAAAGAATTTCTGTTAAATCATAGGCTATAATAAAGTCTTTAGTTTGCACATAAAGGATAGATTATTTTTATTACAAAAATATTTTTTGAATAGAAGAACTTCCATATTATTATAAAGAAAAAGTCTCTAGAAATTAAAATGATGGATATGAATAAGTTGAAATAAAAACATCAGAGTAAATAAATATAACTTTTTTATTTTAATCTATTAACATTCCTTAAATATTGTTTATTTCTATCTTTTGAATTTTAATATCCCGAGTTTAGTAATTATATAAGTATAAAATAGGAGTTTAATCTACAATAATTAAACTTTTTTATTCTTAATAGTAGTATACCATTTCTTTTGCAAATTAGCTAACGGTTTCATAAGTAGATAATTAATTCATATCAGGTATATCTATAATATTTAATTATTTTATACTTCCAGTTAATTGTATTAATATTTAATCATTTTTATCCCAAAATAATATTGTACTATTGAATCTGTAATCGAAAATAAGATCAAAATTTTATGTTTTATTAAATTTAATGTAGCTGTTATATGGTTTATAAAAATAAACTATCAATTAATTATTTTTATCTATTAATGGTACACTTTTTAGGTCATTAGAAAATACTCCAAAATTGTCTTACTTTTAATTTATAATATTTATAAAAATAAAAATTATAACTTCCTAAACAAATTATCAAATAAATTATTTTTTCAAATTAATTATGAAAAATAAATATTAAAAAACCCTATTTTCTCATATTTAAATACCTAAAAAGTAAATACTTTAAAATTTTTAGTTTAAAAAAATAAATGGGTGTTAATTTATAAGAAAAAATGTGTCAAATAATTTGAAAAATATTTTTAAATAATAAGATTTTATTCAAAAATCAATTACAAAAAATTACAAAGAAATAAAACTAAATCAATTAAATTTACATCAGTGAAGTCATCTGATAGTTTTCCTGTAAGTAAATCAAATATTTGCAATGAAGGGAAGTAAATTACTAGAAGATTTTAATCACACCTTAGATAAAAAAGAATATTTGAGTATTGCTAATAGTAAAAATAGGAGATTTACAATTTCTAGTTATTTTAGATCTATTTATTTTTAAAATTATGTAAAATTAATTTAAAACAAAAATGAAAAATACTTACTTTTAAAATGTAAATATTTAATTTCTAAGTTTTGGCTACAATTATTTATTAACTAAAACAATATTTATAATCAACAATTTATGAATCCAATTTAGAAATAATTTTTGATGTTTAATTATTTCGTTGATCTTCTAGATATAAAGTCATATTTTTAATCCAAAAGAATGTGCCCAAATTCCAATCTACAATTTTTATTGGCAAGTTAAACTCTTAATTAAATTTTATAGATAGAATTTCTTGAGGTTGCTTTATAATGTCAAATATCATTAAATATGTTGTGTTAAAATCATAAATAGCAATTTTATTATTTATCTCAAGATAAATATCTTATATTATTTAATTTACAGAAATATTATAAACGTTGAATGGCTCATTAAATAGATTAAAATGCCAATATATTCCATTTTAAGATGAAAAACAATGAATAGATGTGCCATCTCCAGCAATTGTATTTCCTATATAATTCTTGATTTCTTATTAAGTTTTAATTATTATCATATTTTCAGTGTCTATTACTACATCTGATTATTTTATATATTTAGCACTGTCTATAATAATGAAGCTATTTTTCAATATACTAGTTTAATTTAAATTTATTCCAATATTTATCATATTTAATTACTTAGATTCCATATCAAATTTTATGAAATAATTACGGTCGTTGTAAAAAATATATCTTTCATTATAAATTAATTTTAAACTTTGATCGCCAAGTATAGGATATTATATTCCAAAGTTAATTTCATTTTATTACTATAAATTAAACTAAAATATGTAGATAGTTGAGAGATAAAATATAAAAATTTCACTTGTTTTTTGATATACCAAAGAAGGGGTTGTTACTAAAGTTAGCTCGATTTTTATTTTTTGGTATAATAATTATTTATTACTAAGAGAAAATGGCTAACAATAATTATTTTTTGATATGATATAAATAATATCATTTTAAGCTAATAAAGGATAAATAGAATTATTAATAGTCCATATGCTTATATAATTTTAATTACCAAAGTTATAGAGCTATGAAAATTCCATCGATTAAAAATCTAGTAACATTAAGATTACTTCACTTTTTAAATTTTATGTTTAATAGACTAATTTATCATCATTTATTATAACAAAATTATCTAAAGAAAAATAATATTTTGAAGAATTGCTTATAATATCAGATTAACTGAGTAAAGAATATATCTTAGATATTTTTTAAATGATTAGCAATTTTCTTTTCTCAATAAAGTAATATTGGCTTAAAGCTTAATCAAAGCTATATGTATAGGAAATAATATTTTATTAAATAGAAAGATCGATTATTTATTCTTCAACAATTTATTTTGCATTTATTTTGCTTAACAATAAGTATTAACTATTTACTAAATCTAGTCTATTGTAAGCTTAAACATCATCTTAAAATGGTAAAAAAAATAACCTTGTTATAATTTTATGGGCATTTTATAAATAAGTTAGACGCAAATTTATCTATTAAACTCCTAAACCCTAAAAAAATTGCATTTAAAACTAATTGTAAATGTAAAATTGGCCTTATTGAGATGTAGCATTTAAGTTAAACATCATTAATTATGGTTAAAGATCGTTATCTATATAATAAAGTTATTGGTATTTGTATGGATCTAGGTATTTTATTTAATATTCTTCACTTTAAAGATTATATCTAAGTCTTATTTGTTAAAAATTGTATTCATTATTTTATATAACTTAGCTTAAAATAATATCAATCGTTTAATTTTGCAGGAAAAAAACATTTATTATTGTAGACTGATTTGTTATAAATGGAGAATCAATTGTTTAGATTATATTTTAAACTTGACTTCCTTAAGTAAAGTTTAGGCATTTATTTATATTCAAAATTTATAAATTATTAGCTATAAAAATAGCTATTGTTAAGTTTTATTCTTCGCTTTCATAGACTTAAAATTAATTTAATGAATTTACTGTTATATTCATACTTTAACTAACTTGATTGCTTTACCCTCCTAAAGAAAGTAATTCTATTTAATAATCTACTGAATTGTATTAGATAATTAAATTAAAAATTTTACTAAAGTAAATTGCGTATTTAAAAAAATCTAATGTTTCTAACTATATTATTTGAAGATCAAATTAGCTTGAAAGAACTAACTTATTTATATAATGATATTTTAAAGATTCACTACTTGATAACATTATTAAATAGTCTTGAATTTAATAGGCTTATTATATTAATTAAGAAGACGATAGCTATATTTTTGTATCCTACAGTATTAAAGATCTATCATCCTCAAGAACAGCTAACTATTTATTAAATACAATTTGATTATTCATTTAAATAATATTGAATTTATTAGTTAGAAATATTAAAAACAATTATGATAAAATTTCCTTTTATATAAAATTTCATTTTTTTTATGTCTAACTCTTTAATTTATTTTTAATAAATTTCTTTTGATATTTAAAATTTTTGTCATCTATCTTAAGATATAATACGAAAATTGTTCATTTTGTGCTAAAAAATTAAAATAAATATTTAAACAAATAAAATAAATAGGATCTACAATACTTTTCTTTAATTTAATTAAAAAATATTCTCATTTAATTTAAAATCATTTTAATTTATCTCATTTGTTCTTAAAAATTTTTAGGTAGAGGTAAAAAATTAAAATTAATAAATTTTTTCAAATAAAATGTTAAAATCTCTCTCAAAAATTATTTTATTATTTATTAGCACTTTAATTTTACCCCTCCTCTACATAAAATATTTTTGTAAAAAATAGAATTGAATTTTACCTAGATTTGAGCATAACTTATTTAAAAATTATAAATTATTTTTCCATTCTATTGCATTTTGAAAATTGCCAATACACTATAATCAAGATTAATTTTTTAGAATTTTAATGTGACAACATCAAACCATTATATGTCCTTATATTAATTAGACTGCAAGAAAATTATTTGATTTTCTTAGTCAACAAATTAGATAAAATAATCTTAATCCATACCTGTCTATATAAATAAGGTTTATAAATTAGTAAAGTTCATAAGAATGAGAGTATTTCCTGCAGTACAACCTCCATATTATCTAATAATAAAGCTCTTTTGAAACTATTCTTGGCCTGCTACCATATATTAACTTTTGTAATCTTACTAATTTTATAAAATTTGCAAATTGATTATGTTCCAATCTTGATTTACAAGAGCAAAATTGCATTAGTTAGCTCTAACTAAATATTAGTTATTGCTAATATACTCAATCTATAATACCCTATCTTCAAGTGACATCAAACTATTATCGATTTGTATGCATTATAACATTTTTTCACATATTTAAGTTTAGAAATTTTGATAATAGGATGAAGGGCAACTGTTGAAGCATTCATTTTAAGTGAATGGAGCTGAAATAAACTATTATTATTTGCAAATATTATTTTTAATAATGCATTCATTTAATGAAATGTCTAAACTTAAGTTTGCCTCACATTTAAGACATATTTAATTTTGATCACATAATTTACAACCTTGTACATTACACTTGATGCATTACTTATTTTTTAAATAAATTTCACCATTTTAGCAACTTTACACACAAGTAGAACTATTAAGCGAGCTTTTAAAATAAGGTTGTTTACAATCAATGCATGAATTTTCACTCTAGTTAAAGCAACTTTAACAATAAGCTGAGCATTAAAGGCATTCTTAAGTCATGGTATTAAGTATTTCGTTACTATTGCATTATGATAATCCACCTTTAAACAAACATAAAATAATAGTAATTTTAATTAAGAAGATCATTTTAAAGTTAAAACAGCTTGATTCTTTTGTTATTTTTTATTTGAATTAAATTTTATTAACTATTTGAATATAAAGGGAGGATTTAAAAATAAACAAAAAAAAAAAATAAACAATCAAACAAAATTCGTTTATAAGTAAAGAAATAAAGTTCAATTTCTCGCTCGATGTATCATTATCATTATTATTTTTTCTTTCACAAAATGCTTCAAAATATAAACAAACATCTTTTATAGGCAAAGAAAAAGCTTAATTTCTGGGTATATCATCGATATTTAACCTTTCAAACAAAGCTAATATTTTTTTAAATTGTAAAATAATACAATATTTTTTCATAATTTTTCTTCATTTAGAAAATTGTTTCATTTTATTCATCTTATTATCTAAAACAGTAAGCCAAATTAATAATATTTTTGGTGATAATAAAAATATTAAATCCTAAAATTTTAAAAAATGAATTTTTCTTTTTATAATATGCTTAGAATCAAGTTGTTTTAGTTTTGAAATAATCGTTTTAATTAAAATTAAAATTATTTTAAGTTTATTTAAAGCTGGATTATTGTAATGCAATAGTAACTAATATATAATACCATGATTTAAGAATACCTTTAAATCAATAAAAAAGGTAATAGTAGTGCATGCACATCAATAAGACAGTATAAAATGCAAAATCATTTTTTTACAAAACTTTTATTAGAAAGTCAAATTTTGATAAGAAATATATCTATTTGGTTTCAAAGAATTTTTTTCTAAATAAATAAAAATTTATTAATTAATTACTAATAAATATTAAAAAATTTTATGTTGATTTGATTAATTATTTTTAGCAAATATATATTTTTAATGTATGGAAATTGCTTTAATATAGAGACTTTCCTAATTTATAATTATTCTTTAATCTATAAAAATATAACATAAAATCTTCAAAATAAGAAATATATAATACTTGGATCAAATAAATCATCAAGAAAGTGAAAAAGAAATGATAAAATATATATTAAATTTTAGAAAAATTATAAAATCTTTTTTTTTTAATATTTTATTATTTCAATTTGAAACATTTTTGATTTAAAGTTCCTACGAACTTATTTATTTATTTGTTTTCTTGCTTGAAGCATAATTTAAATTAAAGTATTCTGTTTATTTCTGATTTTTCAAAATTTAAAAAAGCTTAATTTTTAACATCCCAAACCAAAAATAATATTTATTTATTGCTTTTAATAAAATCCTCATTTTTTATAATAAATTTATTTATTTGATAAAAAACTACTCTAAAATAATTTAAATTAGAAATGAATAAATCTGAGGATAATGTATTTTGTATTACTTAGAAAACATAAAATTTAATATTAATATTTGAATGATTGAAAGATATTAAAAGTTTAATCAAAATCATAAACATAGACTTTAAATTATTTATATTTTTTACAAATAAAAGCATAAATAAAATTAATTTGATTATTTTTTTATGATATTAAGTAATTTTACATTTCTGATAAAATACAATCACATTTCAAATTAATTAATTATCAAAGTATTTATGCAATTTTGCTTTATAAGTCTAAAAAGACTCTAAATTAGAAAGTCCGAAATAATTCAAATTAGTTATCTAGTTTAATTTGGTATCTTAAACAAATCCTCCTAAGCACTATAAAAAGGATCAATAAATATTTTATTAACTTATTCTTATTAAAAAAAATAAATAATAAATTAAATAATCTAAAAAATGAGATAAAACATTCTTATTGCCCTATTTTTAGCTTTATGTCTAAGTACTATTCTTGGTTCTGGCGAAAATCGCGAAATATTGATTTCTTAAGGGCTTGTAGATTTTACTGAATCAGACCTTTTAGGCATCTACTAATCTTATGGATATTAACCAGATACTAATAGTGAGAGATATTAGCTCTTTAAAAGCAGATTAGCTAAAATAATAGAACATAACTCTGATCCTAATAAAACCTACACTTAGGGTATTAATCATCTAACTTTTTAAACAAGAGAAGAACTTTAATAACTTAGAGGCTTTCAAAATTGTACTGCACTTGCTAAAGAGAATACTCGCTCTTTTAGGACTTACGATATGAATGATATTCCAGATTATGTAGATTGGAGAGAAAAAGGAGTTGTGACTGCTGTTAAAAATTAAGGAGGTAAATTTATTTTATTATTATTTTTAAAAAAATAGTTTCTATTAGTGATATATTAAAAAATTTTTAAATATAATTAAAAGAGTGTGGTTCATGTTGGGCATTTGCAGCTGTTGGAGCAATTGAGAGTCACTTTTCATTGAAAACAGGAAAATCTCCTATTTAATTATCTGAATAGCAACTAATTGATTGTGCTAGATAATTCGATAATCACGGATGTGATGGAGGCTTACCTTCTAAAGCTTTTGAATACATAGCTTATGAAGGAGGAATTGAAAGTAATAAATTGTTTTTTAATTAAATTTTTAAATAAATGAATAAACAATGTAATAGATTATTAATGTATATTTAAAGCTTTTTTTATTCATTAGATTCAAAGGATTATCCTTATACTGGTAAGAACAACAAATGCTAATTTGATGGAGAAAATATAGTTACAAAAGTTAAATAATCTTTTAATATTACTTACTTAGATGAAAAAGAATTGATTTATCATTTGGTCCATAAAGGTCCAGTCACATTAGCATATGAAGCTGCTGATGAATTTGATAACTACTAAAGTGGTATTTATGAAGGTAAAAATTGTGAATAAGACCCTTAAAAAGTAAATCATGCAGTCTTAGCAGTAGGTTATAATAAAACTGGTGATTACTACATTGTAAAAAATAGTTGGGGAGACAAATGGGGAATGAATGGATATTTCTATATCAGGGCGAATAAAAATGCTTGTGGTTTAGCAAGTTGTGCCAGTTATCCAATCATAGAGTGATTTAATTTGGCAAATAATTTTATGTATTCAACTAAAATTGATTATATAATAATTTATTTGTTATCATGTAAATAAATATTTGTTTTTTTTGTGCATTTATGTGAAAAAGTATTTGATTTTTTAATTTTATAATTATAATTAACAAACATACTCCCTTATTTCCTTTTAATTCCAATCAGCGATCTACGTTTTTTCTTACTTGCATTTATTGAATATCAAATTAATATTGTGTACAATATTTTTTGATGAAATTTAATTTAAAAAAATATAAAGCAACGTGCATATGATTAATTAAAAAAATAAAATATAACTCTAAATAAAATTTTTAATTTAAAAATATTTTTCATATTTATTGATGACTTTGAAATTAATTTTATTGTATATTTTTACAAATCAAGAATTTTGAATAATATAATATTTTCAGTCTAATAATTTTAGTAAATGATATTTATAGAATAAAGAATCTTATAATTAAATAGATTTTTTTAAAGTCTATAATAAATTAAAAATAAATTAACAAATTTGAGTATTTTTTTACTTATTAATTTATTTAAAAGACTTTTTTCTTGCATAAATTAATGAAATAATAAATTTTGTAAAATATGAATTT